TGAAATTGAATTTGGTTCACTGCTTGTTACTGTGTTCTGGCTGATGGGCTGGTGAGCTGAACTCTCACTTCTCCCTCCTCTAATGTCTCTGAATTACATTTGGAAAAGCACTTTATATACAGAATGTACTAATTGCTTTTCAATTTCTACCCTGTTTGCCTGAAAATAAGACCTCCACGGATAATAAACCCAATTGGGCATTTGAGTGCTTGTGCTAAAATAAGCCCTCCCGTGAAAATAAGCCCTCCCCGAAAATATTGCAACACAGCAGCAGCTATGAAGTGACCATGCTCACCGCCTCCTGCACCTCAAAAATAATAAGATTGCCTGGAAAATAAGGCCAAGTGCTTATTTCAAGGGTCAAAAGAAAATAAGACCCTGACTTATTTTCAGGGAAACATGGTATTCACAAATGGTGTTTCAAAAGTTTAAGTTCACAGATACACATAATTCATACAATCACAAATTAACAAAAGTCAGCTCAGAAGCAAAATACAGTGAAGTGACATATATATCAGGTCTAATTAAATTCCTATATTGCATGACAATTTTTATGGGCTTTGGGCAATAAATAAAATATGGAAATTATTTGCAGTGGAAAACCACAAACAAAATGACAAACCTGAAAAAGTAGACAACATTGTTCTGTATGAACTATTGTTCTGGATATATCTTCGGGTTTAAAAGAATGAAATCCAAAATTGTTATCCTGGGACCACCCGAAGACCGATAATTCTGCTCCCTTTTTTCCTCACAAGTAATTGAATGATCCAGTCTCATCTGGTCCAGTTGAATCTCTCCGGGAAGAAAGTAAATCCAAAACAGTGAACTGTGAAGCTGTGCAGCATCTGGTTTCCTCTGCTGTTTTGAGATTAATTTCTTGGACATGGCATCAAAGCAAATTCTCTAGCTGCAGATTAGATCCTGATAGCTGTTAGAAGCCACTTGTTTAATATATGGTCTAATTATACAGAAAGCCATTATTTTGGTCAGCTTGTACCCTCTCTCTCCTTTAAGTCTCTTGTTTGTGTCAAAAAAGCTTTTGTCTCCTGTTCTGTGAAAGGGCGAGGTGTTGTTTAATTCTTTCAGGTGTTTACCATGTTTCTTCTTCAAAAAACTTGGAAGAGAAGCCACAGTATATGTCAAAGATTTGTGAGTTCTCTCATGTACAGGGCAATCTGGAAAAAAAATCCTGGTTAGTGTCCATCCAACATTACTACTGCCTCATCTGTAGCAGAACTGCTGCTTTCCATCTGTGCTTTTGAACAGCTAAGTGTCAGGTTTGCCAGAAACCTCAAACACAAAAATCACTGGTTGCAAAGCAACGTTGTAATACAAAGCTGAATCCAAAGCTTAGAAATGCAAAGAGCCAATTCTAACGTGTGTGTGTGTATGCACGTGTGCTCTTTGAAAAGCAGACCTTTTTCAACTCAATATTCTCCAGTTGGATTAGAGGGTAATTCCGCAGAATTCAAGCAAACCTAATGGGAATTGTAGTGTGAAACGTCTACGGATTGAAATGAATTCTGCCCTAAGAACACTTTTGCAGAAGAAAAGTAGAAAACCAAGTGGCTGAAGAAATTACCTAGATAATTACAGGTAACCTTTGACTTGCAAGCATTCATTTAGTGACTGTTTAGAGATACAACGGCACTTAAAAAAGTATTCTATGATCATTTTTCACACTTATCATCAGGGGTGAGTTTTGGCTGGTACTACTGCCATTTCGGTCCTGTGTGGGCACGCACTTGATGCTCGCTGCATGCACATGCACAGTGCAATTAAAGTTGTTCTGTTCATGTGCAGAATTGAAAAACAAGATGGTGGTGCCATCGGCACTGACCGGAGAACCAGTTCGAGTGCGTAGCAGGCCTGGGTCGCTGCCGGTTCCAGCGAGCCAGGCCACCAAACCAAAACCGGTTAGGCCAAACCGGTCCAAACCAGTAGGAACCCACCCCTGCTTATGACCATTGCTGCATCCCCATGTTCACCTGCTGAAAATTCAGACACTTGGCAATTGGCTCATATTTATGACAGTTGCAATGTACCAGGGCCACATGATCCCCTTTTGTGACATTCGAGAAACAATGTCAATGGGGAAGCCAGATTCATTTAACAACCATGTTACTAACTTAACTGCAGTAGTTCACTTAACAACTGTGGCAAGGAAGGTCATAAAATGGGGTAAAAAATTTAAATTAATAACTCTCTTCTCAGCAACAGAAATTTTGTGCTAGAGTTGTGATTGTAAGTAGAGAGCTACCTGTATCTTGGACTGGGATTGTTAGACAAAATGCAAGAGAAAACTTATTTTGAATTGAATGTGCATTTTATTTATTAACTTGTTTTTTCTGTTACCATTATTATTGGAGATTTTCCTACAATAGCACATCTCTAAGTGATTAAGAAACTCATTTTGGCTGCCATGAAAAACCATTCAGAATTAAAATAGCATACTGCCAAACAGATGGAGGCAGAGCATCTTTATCTTCAAAAGAGCCATATTTTAATAGCTTTTTGGAAGATGACTAGAGCTGAGAATCTCGGGTGGGGAGGAAACTTGTTCCATATGGTCAACAGCAATAAAAAGCATGGTGTATATGAGTGTGCCACATTTTATCTTCTTTTTCTGGTAGATAACAAAAAAAATCTCTCTCTTAAGCAGATCATGTCTCCTACTTGTGCCACGTCCAGTCCTGGATAGCTGGTAAATAAGTTAGCAGAGCAGAGCATAGCATAGCATAGCATAGCATAGCATCACATCACAACACAACACAACACAACACAACACAACACAACACAACACAACACAACACAAATATAATATATATGTATGTATGT